TTTGGATCATTGTAGCAAAAGATGGTCTAGGCAAACTCTGAACGGCCTCAACCTTCTTCGGATCCACCTTAATCCACTCACTAGACACCACATGACCTAAAAATACCACAGAATCAAGCCAAAACTCACATTTGGAGAATGTAGTATATAGCTTCTTCTCCCTCAAAGTCTAGAGCACGATCCTCACATACCACCCAAGATCCTGCCGACTGCGGGAATACACCAATATATATAGTCAATGAACACGATGACAAAAGAATCAGGATATGGCTGGAATACACTGTTTTTTAAGTACATAAAGGCTACTAGGGCATGGTCAATCTAGAAGACATCACCAGAAACTCATTTTTACCATAGCGAGTCCTGAAAGCCGTCTTCGAAATATTTAAATCCCGGATCTTCAACTGATGGTGCCCTGACCTCAAGTCAATCTTCGAGAATACTCGAGCACTGTGTAGCTGATCGAACAAATCATCAATACGTGGTAGCGGGTACTTGTTCTTGATTGTAACCTTTTTCAGCTTCCTATAATCAATACACATCCTCATGGAGCCGTCTATCTTCTTCACAAATAGAATTGGAGCACCCCAAGGCAAGACACTCAGCCTGATGAAACCCTTATCAAGCAACTCCGGAAGATGTTCCTTTAGTTCCTTGAACTCCACTAGTGCTATGCGATATGGTGAAATAGAGTTGGGCAGAGTGCCGACACCAAGCCAATACCAAAATTGATATCCTTATCAAGAGGCATGCCTGAAGGTCTACTGAAAACACGTCTGGAAACTCTCTCACTACCGGAACTGACTCATCGGTAAGAGTATTAGCACTAACTTCCCTCACAAAGGCTAAACATGCCGAGCACCCCTTCTCAACCATCCGATGTGCCTCTAGAAAGGACACCACCCTACTCGAAACATGGCCCAATCTACCTCTCCACTCTAACCTCGGCAACCCTGGCAAAGCCAATGTCATGGTTTTGGTGTGAAAATCCAGAATAGCGTGCTAGGGCGACAACTAATCCATGCCAAAAATCACGTCAGAGTCTACCATATTAAGTATCAGAAGGTACACTCTAGTCTCATAACTTCTGATAGTGACCAAACACGACAGATAGACACGGTCTACCACAATAGAATCTTAGGTGTAGACACATAAAAAAGAGTACCCAAAGAATCACGAGACACATCCAAATATGAAGCAAAATAGGATGACACATACGAATAAGTGGAACCCGGATCAAATAAAATTGATGCACCCCTATGACAGGCCAGAACAATACTTGTGATGACAGCATCTAATGCAACATCCTCAGTCCTACCAGGAAAAGCATAGGAACATGCCAGGCCTCCCCCTCTAGGATGACCTCTACCCGCCTGACCTCCACCCCTTGCTGGTTGTACAGGTGGAGTGGTAACTAAAGCAGCAACCATGGCATGTGTACTCAGTGGAGGTGCAGCGCTCCTAAGTCTAGGGAAGTGCCTTATTATGTACCTAGTATCACCTGAATCGAAACAACGGGCATGGCTTCTGGAACTGAGTCTGACCCGGTCGGCTAGAATGACCATTGTAGACACCCTGTGCAGGAAGTACACTGGAAAGTGGCTGTGCATAAGCGCTCTGAGGCCTCTAAATAGCGGGTCACTGCGAGTAGCCTGAAGCACCGAATGAACTGATCGACTGACATAACCTCTACCAGGACGAGCTAAAACTGTAGAGCATGAACAACTAAATCCTCTAGAATCTCGAGGCCTCTTGGCCTCCCTATCATCCTCTCCTGGCCACACATATGCTCCAACCTCCGATCGATCTCCATAACCTATTGAAATAGAGTATCAGTCTCCAACTCCTATGCCATATTGAATCTAAGACCACAACTAAGCCCCTCGATAAATCTGCAGACTCGCTCTCTGACTATAGATACCAAAGCAGGTGCATGTCGGGATAACTCAATGAACCTCATGGCATACTCTAACATCGTCATACTCCCCTGAAGCAACTACTCAAAATCTAGGCACCACGTATCCCGGAGGGTCTGTGGGACGAACTCCCTCCAAAATAAATGAGAAAACTAAGCCCAAGGAAGTGGAGCTACATCAGCTGGCCTACCCTCCTCACAAACAAGCCACCACCTATGTGCCGACCCCGTCAGCTGAAATGTAGTAAAGTCGACTCAACACACCTCCACAATGACCATGGTGCGAAGAATATGGTGGCACTGATCTAGAAAACCCTATGCATCCTCAGAAAACTATACCACTAAATGTAGGAGGGTCATACTTCTTGAACCACTCAAGACTCCTCTGCTCCTCCTCTTATGCCAGTGGCGTAGCCTCAGGCTGAACCGGGATAAAGGGTTATACTAGTATAACACCTGGAACCTCATCAACAGGGGGCCTGCTGCTATAGAGTATGGGCATCAGGAGTCTGAACTCCTCCCCTAGTCTGAGAAGTAGCTGGTGCAATTGGGATCAATCCCGCCTGAGCCAAAGTACCGAGCATGCTCAGGAAATGTGCCAAAGTCTCTTGGAGTCCAGGGGTAGTAACGGGCACCTCGGGTGCCTGTCCCCCAACCGGAGCTACTGGTGGCTCCTCAGTCGCTGCTCCGGCAGGTGCTCTAGTTGCGGCACGTGCGCCTCCTCGGCCTCCACCCCAGCCCCAGCCACACGCGGCTCTAGTCAGGGTGTGGGTATCTGCTCAACTGATCCGGTAGTGCGTGCCCTCACTATCTATGAGATAATTAAATTACAAAGGTTTAGATTCCAAAATCAACAAATTCGCACGATAAGGAGTAAAAGAAGTGGAATATCCTAATAGTTCCATAGCCTCTCAGATAAGTACATCTATCTTAGTACTAATTCGCAAGACTTTATTAAACTTGTGTATGACTCGTGGAACCTATGAACCTAGAGTACCAACTTGTCACGGCCCCAAATCCCACCTTTAGTATCGTAATGACACCTAGTCTCTAAGCCTAACACATTCTAAGATTTAACAGAAATAAACAACTTAGCTTTTAAAGAAAACTAATAAATGACATAATAAAGGTGAAACCGAACAATAGTCATACATCCCCAAAAACAGTAGTATGGAGTGATAAGCTCCACTGAGGGTGAACTACGAATATCAATTACATCATTGTTTTGGAATGAAAATAAACAGTAGTAAAGTAAAGTTTCAGAAGGTGACTCGGAGTCCTGCGAGCGTAATGGCAGGTATACCTTTAAGTCTCCTCAGCAACTCAACACAGCTAGCTATGTCCGGCACGCTCCGAGGTGCTTGGATCGACACAAAAATTTGAGAAGCTATGAGTACTCCATAAACGATACCCAGTAAGTATCAAGACTAATCTCGGTGGAGTAATGACGAGGTTCACGTCAAGACACTCACTAGACGTAAAAGTAAAACCTGTGCAGAATATAACTGACACTAACAACGGGAAGAAAATAAGTAAATAATAAGGAGTAAATATATGATAAAATAACAAAAATAATAAAAAACACAGTTAAATACAAGTGAAATAAATTAAGGAAAGCAATGACAGTTCGAATAATCAGGCGGTTCCAACATAGAATTGACAACAAGAAGCATCCTGAGCTACCACACCTCATAAGCACAATTCACAAGCCACAAATCAGAATCTTCCTTATAACGCCACGTGAGCCTTATATTTTAAAATATTTTTTACGAAATAGCTTCATGCGCATAAGCCCCCTTATCTTACCGTGTGTTCTTCAAAAATGAAGCAATTCCCCTTGCTAGCTACACGCGCATAAAACCCCCATCTCACCGCATGCGCATTTCATCACAATACAATAACCCACTTGCACCACACACACCCATAAGCCACAACTTCTTCAAAACAACAATATCAATATCAGAATAATACCAAGCTCACTACTCAACAACAATGTGTACAAGAATTTCAACAATGACAAAAATATAATGGTAAATAACTCCGCAATGAAAGATATTCCATGTAACAACAACTTCAATTAAAAGCGTATTAAAAGTTTAAGCCGGTCAAATTCTACCTATAAGCACGTGTACACGCTCGTCACCTCATGTACACATCTTCCACATAATTCAAAGAGTGCAATTAAACCAATCCTATGGTGTAGTTTCCCCCACACAAAGTTAGGCAAGATACTACCTCAATTAGGCAAAATCAACACTCAAAAATAGTCTTTCCTTTAAAATTCGCCTCCGCACGACTTAAATCTAACAAAAAGCGACTTAATATCATAAAACAATATAAGAGAAATCAATTCCAATAATTTCCCCTATTAACTAAACAAACCTGCTATAATAATTCCATAAACACCTAGCGAAGAAGTTAAGATCTTTACACAATTTCCCAAAAGTCAACAAAAATCAATCCCGGGATCGCCCAGTCAAAACCCGAGTCCAAAGGTAGATCTCGACTACCCATAACCCCACGAGTCCATATATGTGTTTTGTTTTCAAATGCGAGGCCAATAGACTCTCAAATCTCAAATTTTTATTTTTCAAAACATAGAACCCCTCC